GTAGGGAGGAAGCATTCAGTTCTTCACCATGACACATTGTGTTACAGGTGGTTTCCATCCATGCTTCTATTGAGAATGTGTTAGAAATCTATTTGTTTTGCTATATTTGAAACATAGTGACATTTCTATCTATAACTTTAAAATTTCAATAAAGTATCTTGTTTCCAAAAAAACAAAAAAACCCCAGGTCATGGTGGGTTTCCAGGAGAGTGAGGGTGCTCTGGCAACCAGTCATTGACATCTTAGAGGGATGGTGCAGAACAGCACTCAAAGCAATAGCTGTGCAGCGTAGCTAGTTAGCAGATGCCAGGGGACAGTAGGTATGCCACAGACACCATGCACTCCATTTCAGGATGTCAGGCAGACACATGGGGGCTTATGGGCTCTTTGGCTCGGGTGTTCTGTTATAGGAATTCTGCTGATTCTCCTGGGAACATCCTTACTCTAGTACTCCGGTTTTGATCAACCCTGTCTCTAATTCCTGCTTCTGTCATTGCTGGCCTTATCTCACTGGGGCATAGTTTGTTCATACAGAAAGGGATCTGGGCAAGCCTACATTCAATTAAACACTTCTGGTGCAACATTCTCTTTCACCTGTGTACCCAAGTCCTCTTGGCTGCCCAGTGAAATTCCCCAGGGCACAATCAGCATTGCATAAGTAGAGCAAAAGACAGGATTTATGGATGTAGGCACTTGCCCCAAATAATTTATCATTCCTGAGTCACTAAGTTATATAGTACCTGTTTTTAACTGACAGATTCATTGGAGATATAAACATCTGCCTTCTCTTTGACCTTAAGTAAATAAAACCTAGATTGGACAATAGCAACTTTTACTTCAGTTTGAGATACTGTTCTCTTGCAAAATTTTGGCTGCCTTTTCACATTAACACAACCAGGAAGTTGACCATGACAAAGTATTCTTAGCTCAACTTGAAGCCATCATTCCCTCAAAGTCTCACAGCAGCTTTTACTTGGTCTATTATTATTATTATTATTATTGAGATAGGGTCTCTCTGTGGCTTTGGAGACTGTCCTGGAACTAGCTCTTGTAGACCAGGCTGGTCTCGGACTCACAGAGATCCACCTGCCTCTGCCTCCCGAGTGCCAGGATTAAAGGTGTGTGCCACCACCGCCCGGCTGAGAAGTCTTTTATTTATAACACTTATTTAGTATGAATTAAACCCTGTTCTAAGCAGTTCAATATTAACTCATTTAACTCCTCACAGCTTGTCTACTGTGTATTACTGACTACCTCCACTCTGCAGGTGAGGGAATTAAGCATTGGAGAGATTAAATAATGTCCTTCAAACCATACAGCTACCCCAGAGCAACACCAGGATTCTCACATACCCAGGCAGTGTGCCTCTAGATCCTACACTTTCAGCCTTGGTCACAATGTCTCTGAACCAAGCTGAAGAGCAAGTTTGACAACATTTGGCCCTCTCCTGTTAATAAAACATATTAACAAGAAGGTAGAGCTAATAATTAGCTCCAAGTTCATGCCTGATTATAGACTGTGATGTTTCTAATTGGAAAAGGGGGGGATCTTGAGAAAGATCCAGAAGAGAGCATTTTCATTTTAGTGCACACAGTATGCCGAGAGGAGTCCAGTGAAGAACACTTGCTTTGGTCTCCTGGCATACAGCTTGGCAGGCAGTGCAGAAGCTGGCTGGCTTTTCATCACTGTATCATGAGCTCCACAAACCTGCCCATTAACTGACATTACACAGGAGTGTAAAGTCACAGGGCAACAAAGCTATAACTTCCAGAAGAGGAAAAAGTCTTGAATGAGTCACACCGATACTACTTAGATTTTCCATTACAAAAAATAAAGATAGCTTAGAGTTATTATAATTCTTAGCAGATGCTAAATCCCTGGGAAGATACCAGCCATTAAGTGAAGGAACTACCTAGAATTCATCTGGTTTGACACTCTCATGTCTCTTGGAACTTAAAGCATGCTTTGGCATAATTACTTGCAATTTTTTCTATGTTTAAAAAAGCCCTGTCATTCTTTATTTTGTTTTTATTATTTAATGTGTGTGCTTGTGTCTGAAAAGGCTAGAAATGTATGAGTGTATACCACATTCATGTGTGTCTGCAAAAGCCAACAGGGTGTCAGATCTCCTGGAGCTAGAGTTACAGGTGGTTGTAAGCCTCTGGCGCAGACACTGGTACAGAACTCAGGTCCCCTGGAAGAGCAGCATGTGCTCTTAACTGCTGAGCCATAGCCCCAGCCTCTATTTGCATTTCTGAAGCTGGAGAAGTATAAAACATCATTTTCTTAAAAAGAGAAAAACGCTGAGTGTTGGTGGCGCACACCTTTAATCCCAGAACTCAGGAGGCAGAGGCAGGCGGATCTCTGTGAGTTCGAGGCTGGGCTGGCTGACAGCCTCCAAAACAATACAGAGAAACCCTGTCTCATAAAACCAAAAAAAAAAAAAAAGAGAGAGAGAGAAACACAGGTATCATGGAACATGCTTATAATCTCAGCATGTAGGGCACTGAGGCAGGTGGATTGAGAATCTGAAGCAGGCCTGGGCCTATGAAGGACACTCTGTTTTAAAACAAAAGGGTGGGCAATGGCACCAGAGTATTAGAATTCATATTCCAGTTGATGAGTAGACCATGTCTAGAAGGAACTCAAAAGGCAGCAAGAGGACCTATGAATTTCTCAATGCATTTGGAAAACAATGTGATTTTCCTGCTCTAGCTGTTACATTTCTCTCCACAGGCAGGCAAATGGACTCTGAGAACTTATCTTACATAGTGATATCTGACAATGACAGCTAAGTTCTTATTCCAGAGGACAGGATATTCACAAGCAAGATCAATAAATTCAGTTGCAAGGGCTGAGGCCATGGCTCAGTCAGTTCAAGTGCTTGCCATGTAAGCAACTGAATTCAGGTCCCTGCACCGATGTAAAAAGCCTGCTGGGGCCATCCCATTGCTCAGGGAGCAAAGACAGGAGGATCCCTGGTGCTTTCTGGCCAGTCAGGCTAGCTGAATAAGTGAGATTCAGTGAGAGCACCTGTATCAAAAATTAGGTGAAGAGTGATTAAGGAAGACTCCCAAGGATGACCTCAGGTCTTCATATGTATGTATGTACATGCACATGTGTGTAAGTTCGAACACACACACACACTTCAGTTGCAGAAATAACAACTGCATACTCTAAAGAGATATTGATTTATAATTCTAAGTGGTACTTAGTCAACTGTGGCCAGCAATAGTGCTCTGAATATAAATTCAGAATATTTAAGTATAAACATAGGGAATGATAGGTTTAAAATCAGCTAAATAAATAAAAAATCACCTAAATCAGTAGGTGTTAAACTACTTTTGACATTGTTCATCTGCTATCCACTCATTCCATGGGCTTTTCAGCATCTCTTTGGATAAACATATCTTTCTTGTGTTTTTTCCCCCCTCTGTGGGACTTCACTTTCAGATTGTTTCCTTTAGAACTCTACACCAGGAGGAGGGAATCTAAGTAAGAGGAAGGCAGCCCTTGTCCTTTAACAAGATCTCAATGGCGCAGGCTGGCCTTGGATTACCTGTCTCAGTCTCCCCAGTGCTAAGATTCCAGGTGCAGGCTTCTGCACCCAGAAAGATTTTGTTAGTCTAAGGAAACCCCAGGAGTGCAGTTTCTATGGTTGGCCACAGTACCACTGTCATTTATATATAGTAACACTGGTTAAAGAAAATCACTTGACAAATTTTCTATTTTTGTAACATTGTGTCAGGGAGAAGCTTAGCAGAATGTACTTCCCAGGGAGAAAGCACTTGTTTGGATTTCAGAGGTAAGTTTTATTTAACTCCTTAGATAAATTTAGCTCCTGTGAGAATAAACACTCTGGATCCCCTGACTCAGACAATATACTCTCCTTACTGACACAGGGAAATAAAACACGACCAATAAAACCAAATAAATCCCAACCAATAACCTTGGGTGCTTCCCCGAAACTGCAGGCTGCAGGTGCCTTACAGATTTTCCCCCAGAGAAGCCCTGACTCCAGTTCCTACTGTAAAATCTGCAGCAGACTCTGCAAGACCACACCTAAGCCTGCAGCATAGTCTCTCTGGGGTAACCTCCTTTCCCGACTCAAGTCCCAACCCGCAGCGTTCCTTTCCTACCCATCCAACATCTGTCTCTGCTTTTCCTCTACTTCCTTTTCCACACTCAAGTGTACCCCAGGCTACTTGAATATTGGTGCCTCCCAAGCAAAGAATTAGCAGAAGACAAGACCTATAATGACTCACAGTTTTTACTCCCTGCCACCACCCTGCAGTTGCCCCACCCCTGTGGTTCTGGGTCTCCCCGTAGGGATACAAGATTAAGAACAGAAAGTTGCAGACACGCAAGGAAGAGATGAATGAAGATTCCCCCCCCCCCTCCGGAGAAGTCTCTTGCTGTTAGGATAGAGGTAGGAAAATGACCCACATTCAGGTTTCAAATGCAAATATTTCTGCGAGGCGAAAGGAAAACAAACATAATTCCCTCTGAGACCCTCCGGAAGGATCCTAGCAACAACACATCCACGGCAAGTTCGGCGCTTGCACGACACTTATGAAATCTGTGCCAGATCCGCATGGCCAGTTCCCACTGCAGAGCTCGGACCTCCAGTCTCAGTACTACAGCTGCAGTGGCAAAGGTCAGGAGGGTTACGGAAGGCCGAAAGAGTGAGCCCCGGATCTTTTTTTACACAGCTGGAGTAAATGAAGAGAGGAAAATAAGGAACTGAGGATGAGCTGACCTTGAGAATCTCCCTGAGTTATAGATAGAGGGGTAGGGGGTCTCACCTAGAAGCTCCAAAGCCACTCCATTAGGGAGAGGATGGAGGGCGGAAGGAGGGCTTAGAATGTAGAGCCCAAATTGACAGATAAGAAAGGGAGGTTGGGGACTCTATTCCATTCCAAGTGGCTGAGATACAGGAGGTGCGCTTGTCGGCGTTAGGTGCCCCAGCACAACTAAAGCTCCTGCAGCTGACAACTTACCTGGATCACCTTCACGCTCCTGGTGCAAACTGGAGCTGCGCAGCACTGCCAGGGTGCGGCTCCAGCAGTCTCGCAGGACCCGCCCCACTGCACCGGGGGCAGCGCGTGGCCACGCCCCTGGGCGGAGCTGCAAGGACCGCCTCTGGCTTTGGCAGTTCTGGCTGTGTCTGAAGAGAGACTGCATTTTTCTCCCTGTTCCTGATGGTCCTCATGTGTACCTTTCTGGCTCCGCAGCCTACATATTTGCTCTCCTCCCCAAGTATCTTTTCCTGACCACAGTCCCAAATTCATTCTACTTGGCTGCAGCTGGAGGAACAGTAGCGCGTTAGTAATTCGTCCCCAGCAGAGCCACCGTAGCTCTCGCTGCACATGCGTAGGCATAGAGGGTTTTAGAAGTGTTGCGTGTGTCCTGTCTTTGAACTCTCCTGGTGAGAGGCGTTTAGAGTCTGGGAGTTCCCTTCGCCAACGTTGTTGGCACGTACCTCAGCCCTGCCCACATGGTGGGCCGCACCCCTTCTCGTCCGCCCCCTCGCAGGCCGGCTCCCGAGGTTTGCTCGCCCAGGTGAGCCCCGCAGACTTAACAAAGAGCACAGGCGCACCCTCGTGTGCCACCTCGCGGCGGCCTCCAGGAGAGCCTTGGATAGGACCTTCTGGGCTGAAGTAGACCTTGGCTGCTAATTTCTGTAAGTTCTGCTTTAAACCGTCACAGAAGGCACCAACATTAGCATTTATTTATTTATTTTTGCGTCTCTTAAGTGCCCCGCTCAACATCCCTACTTACTACCTCAATACCTGGGTCAGACATTGCGTACCTCAGTCCTTCATAAACACACGGAAGTAAGTTTATTCTGTAGCTAAATATGAGTAACCACGGCCCGCGGGACACAGATCCAGGTTGCCCAAATACCACGTTCCAACTGGTATCTCATGAACTTATAGTGACAGAAAGGGAGAAAGTTATGAATCAAGTCCTCTTTCAAATACGTTTGGAGAACATCAAGCACGCAGATTATAGCAAAGCCTGGGGTAACCCTCGGATACTATCTGACTCCTAGAGGCCAGTGGCCAGTTTGTACTGTCTGAAAGGATTTGAGTCAGATGTACAAGGATAAGCTGTTCAAATACACTAGTGTATTTGAGCTTAGACAATTAAGGGTGTTAAAGATATCTCAATGATTTGTTCAGAACCTCAAGTTCCCACCCTTCCACAGTCACTGAAATCTAATCAGTCAGCATCGTGGAATCCTTAACACGGGTAGGAGCCGCCCCTCAACTTCAGCTCGCATTTCCTTCCTTTTCTCCTGTTCCTTTCTGACAGCCCAGGCTGGTCTCAAACTCAACTCTTGCCACACAGCCCAGGCTGGTCTTGAACTCCTAAGCATCCTGACTCCACCTTCCAAGTGTTGGCATTTCAGGTGTGTGCCAGCTTGCCCACCCTCCTCTATTGTCTCTTCTTTGGGGGCTTTACACTTCTAAGAAAGAGTGTTTGGGAAAGACTAGAGTCTAAAAGGGGCGGAGGCTGGATTTCTGTTCGTTTTTACTGGTTTGTCATGCCCACGAATCTGTAAGTACTTTGAGGGCTCATAAAATGTTTACTATTGCTGTTTCAGCACTTTTCAATTGTTCTCATGCTTTCTCCTTAAGTAAGGGTTCCTGGTATGTTGGGTTTAAAGGACTTGTTTTACCTGAACATTGAGAAAGCGAACAGGAAAAAAAAATTCTGCATTATTGGGGGGGTGTTCTCTTGCTTTATATATATATAAGAGAAGGCAATCTAGGCAGTAGAAGGGATGAGCAGAATGTCAGGATAAGTCTGGCTGCTATTTCCCAGATACTCCTGCTTGATCCTAAACAAGAATTGATTATATAGGAACTTCTTTTTAAAAACCTTACAAGGCCAGGGGTGGTGGTGTGTGCCTTTTTATCCCAGTGCTTGGGAGACAGAGGCAGGGGGATCTCTGTGAATTTAAGGCCAGCCTGGTCTACACAGGGAGTTTTAGTACAACTATATATATATACATATATGTATATGTATATATATATGCAACTGTCTCAAACACACACACACATACACAAAACTAACTAACTAAACAGAAACCAAAACCAACCACAAATCAACCAAAACTTTATAAAAGCATTGTTTGTCTTTTGTTTATTTTGTCCATTTAATAAATCATAGTCCATTTCCCCTTCATTGACTGTAGTTCATCTTCAACATTATTTGGTGGTTATGGTATGCCACTTTATGCCATAATCTTTTGTTGGAGTTACCTTGTTTTGAGCTTTCCTATCACAATGTACAACTTTGTGTCTTAGGGTTTTTTATTGCTGTGAAGAGACACCATGATCACAGCAACTCTTACAAAGAAAACATTTAATTGAGGGGGTGGCTTACAGTTTCAGAGGTTCAGTCCTTTATCATCATGACAGGGGGCATGGCAGAGTGCAGGCAGGTGCAGTGCTGGCTACCTCTTGACCAGAAAGCACCAAGACGTCAGCTGAGTGAAACTTGAGAAAAGAGATCTCACAACCCATCCCCACAGTAATACACTTCCTCCAACAATAGCACACTTCCTTTGACAAGGCCACACCTCCTAATAGTACCACTCTCTTGGGGGTCATTTTCTTTCAGATCACCACAGTTGGTAAATCTGTATGTGTGCTTATGATGATTTGACTAAATTCCTTTAAGGAGGTATTTTCTAGGCTGGGCAGTGGTGCCACACACCTTTAATCACAGCTCGTGGGAGGCAGAGGCAGGCGTATCTCTGTGAATTCAAGGCCAGCCTGGTCTACAGAGGGAGTTCCAAGACAGCCAGAGGTACACAGATAAACCCTGTTTAGATAAAACAAAGCAAGACAACAACAATAAGAAACAATACAAAAAAGAGGGACTTTTGGGTTAGAGAATACATATTTCTTTACATCTCCTGGTATCTATAACCACCGGCACACCTGGGAAAGAGTGAGATTTTCCTCCGGTACTGGACATTGGGTATACTTGCTTCTGTTTCTAAGTTGAAATAAGACTTTTATCCCGAGGCTGCTGTGAAGGGCAAAGGGAGCACCGCACAAGAGCCCCATGTGCCTTCCCCCAGGTTAATGTATTTGTAGGTCCCAGTAAAACAACAGGGATTTGATGTGCAGCCCTTGGCTCAGAAGTTACTGTGCCCCTGCTTCACTCACGATTAATTCCTTCTCTACTTACAATTTGCCTTCTGCTTCCAAACCTCCTTTCTGAAAGGTCACCATTGGCCTTGTAAACTCTCCATAGCATCTCAAGCATAGCTTTTTCCTGAGTCTTGCTGGCTGCTCTTCATCTCTCTTGATACTTAGCATGTGTTCCAGATTCTCTGGGGCACTGTTCCCTCTCTCTCTTCTTTGCATTCCTCTCTTCCCTGAGTCCCTTCACTGACTCTCCCTTAATGACTCATCTGCACTGTTGACTGTTTTGGTTGTAGAGAATCCACATTTCCTTTTGTTATATCCGGTGGAGGTAGAACCTAGTATTAAAGTGACAGGGCCAGTCTTGCCTCTTCCTGAGGTTGATGGGAGTGTAAGCATGTACCTTTGGCTCTGCCAGCCAAGTCCTTGCTCCCAGGATTCTGACCCCTAAGAAAATGAAGTGACCTCATTAGTTTTTATTATTGGTTTGACACAACCTAGAGTTACCTGGGAAGAGGGAACCTCTGCTGAAGAATTGCCCTGATTAAATTTATCTGAACCATGTCTGTGAGAGACAGTCTTGTTTGATGATTGATGTGGGAGGGCCCAGCCCACTGTGGGCAACACCATTCCTAGGCAGGAGGGCCTAGCCTGTCTACACAAGGTAGATGAACACCAGTGAGTTCCTCTGTGGTGTCTGCTTCACTCCTGGCCCTGATCCTTCAATGGTGGACTATGATATGAAAGTGTAAGCTCTGGTCATGGTGTTTCACAGCAACAGAAAACACAGCCAGCACAAGCAGCAATGTGAAGACATTTGGAGGGTTCATTCACTGTGGTGGCAGCTGTGGGGGAACCAGATGTCTTTACTCTTTTGTGACCACTCTTTATTCCTTCTTTTACTTCTGTATTAAAAATCAATATTTTTACAAATTAAAATTTGTAAAATTTGAAAAAAATTAAAAAATTTACAAAGGGTCTCATTGTAGCCAATTTGGCCTTAAACTTACTATGTAGCTCAGGCTAACTTTGAATTCTCATCTTCCTTCTTTTGCCTCCTAAGCATTAGGTTGGGGTGCCATCGTACTTGGTGCTATCATATATATCACAAAGTTCCTCTGCAATGTTGGGGCATCCATCTTCAGCCTACAGGCTTACAATATTTGGCATACTTTTCAGTGAGGCAGGAATCTCAAAGGACTGTCTTGCCTTGTTTTGGCAAAGTTCAGCAGTTAGTTTTCTCCTTCTATTTATTCTCTTCTGTGAGTCCTGCATGTCCGGTTTATAAGGCATACTGTCAGCTGTCAAAGCAAAGCAGTTCTTTGTCCAAATGGCTAGCCTTGCCACATTGAAAGCAAACTTGATATGGAATTTCTTTGATGCCTATCCTCCTTTTATGAAGTAAATTGGTGCTTCCAGGAGCAGATGTGTCAGTGTCATGAAAAACCTTAGGTTATTAAACATCTTAAATGCCATATTCTGTAGTTCTTTGAAGTGTTTGAAAACCATCAATCTGTCTAAAGTACACCTATTTAAACTTGAAAACATACCTAATGTGACTACAAGTTTGATTATTATAGATTAACAACTAACATCATTTCTTAATTATTCATTGAATTTTAAATGAGTTGAATAAGCACAATATCCCAAACAAGAGTAAAAACATATATAGCATAATAAAAATAATTTTAAATTTGTATCAGTGTACTAAAACCCATGCCAAAGCAAAATATTTGGGGTCAGTAGTTATCTTCTTATCCTATATTCCCCTAAATGATAATGAACATCCATAATCTACCAAATAACCAAATCCACCCACCCCATCTCTTGAGAATGTGGGCATTGTGTTCTCCACTCCTGTTGTCTGTGGGCGAAAGCATTTTTAGGGGTCCCTGAGAAAATTTGAGATAATGGTCAAGCCCTGGAAAGACCAACTCTAATCTTTGTTGATAGCTATCACCTGTGAAGATTCAGAAGCTCTTCCCTGATCAAGCCTGATCCATACCAATCCTGAAGGAATTCCCAACCTCTCGTCTCCTGTGGGAACAAAAGCAAAACCTTTTCTCCAAAGCAGTGTTATCTTTTAAATTCCATTTTGCAAATACATTTTTTGACTTCCATTTTACAGTTAAGGCATTCCTAAAGTATACAGACTGGTTTATTTCAATAGCCCCTCTTTCAGTTTAGCAGCTGTCCTTTGCTTACCAGCAGTGAAAAAATTCAAGGTCAATGCAGCAACATACAGGATCCAGACTCCCTGTGTATTTTTCATCTTAAGCACCACCTAGCTCCCAAATAAATACACAGAGGCTTATTCTTATTTATGAATGCCCGGCCTTGGCGTGGTTTGTTTCTAACCAGCTTTTCTTCACTTAAATTATCCAGTCTATCTTTTGCCTCTGGGTTTTTTCTTTCTCTAGTCTATATGCCTTTCTTTACTTACTATTCCATGGCTTGCTACGTAGCTGGGTGGCTGGCCCCTGATGTCTTCTCTTTTTCTCCCTTTTCATTCCTTAAT